TCTCTCTCTCTCTCTCTCTCTCACTCAACTGTCCCCACGTCATTGCGAATAATATTGTAAGGGACAAACATCACATTCTGTTGAGGCATGGCATACAGCGCCCGCTGTAAACTCTTTCAATTTAATATTGCGAGATCTCTTATGACACCAACTCAGCAGGACTGGTAATTCTTACTTTCATTCAATCAGCTCGGATCTATAAGTCATTTCTATTTTTGTAACAAATCTCATTAACTTTTTTTTTTCATTTGGATTTTCCTGAGAGAAGTGTGCCTGTGCCAGCAGTATTACGCATAAAACGTAACGAATTTCACGACAAACCACGCAACTATTTTTACTAATAAAAAAACATGAAATTGTATTTATGTCCTCAGATTCAGCAGTACATATTGGGCCACAAATGTACATTGGAAAATACATATAAAACTAATTACAACTATATTTATCTTCAGCATCGAGGCCACACAACTGCCATGATGTAATCAAAACAGGATTCACAGATGTTGCTATATTAAAAAAAAAGAAAACATTAAATCCAACACACACTATAGATTTTATCAGGTGCAAAATCACAAAGCTAGCATGCACATTAATAAATAATTCAATTCATACTTAATCAACAATAAGAAAAACAACAGTGAAGGAATGTTGCTGGAAAGTGCCGTATTAACAATCTCTCGGAAGCCGTCTCTCACTTACATGGCACAGACGAGAACCAGAATTACCAACACGAGAACGCTATTTTGAATCCTTGAAGGCACATGAAAGTGTGGAAAATAAGCAAAGCAATGTGTGGATTCACTTGCAATTTCCAAATTTAAAAAATCTTAATGTGATGAAAAAATATAACCCTTGCCACGAGAGTGGTGGTTTAATGTCTTAACCAGATGTCAACTCTGCTTGAGGAATTAACTATTTTTAGAGCTCCTATGCCCGGAATATTGTGTTACGTTATTTCAAAATCCTACAGATTTACAGTCTGGTGTTGAGTTGTCAAATGCATGCCCGTCTAAATGTTGGAGCCTGCAAATAAACTACGCTCACGCCTTGTATGTGCCCTGCAATTCATGGAAGACCTTTGCCTTGTACTTTACTCTGACTGAAACGTACCATCTGTTTTACAGCGCTTTCTGAGTGAGCTCTGGTCTTGGTATGGAAAGAGTTAAGCAGGTAAACTCCTCACACAGCCATTGCTTGGGGGAGAGGGGGTGGTGAGGGCTGAGGACGACACTGGAAGTTGCTAGACTTTTCTATCCGTCCATTGTCAGGTTGTGTGAGTCCATCTTTACACAACATAAATTGCACATATCCTGGTGTATAATCTTTAACTAGATGATCTTTTCTCAGGAATAGGCAGAACAAGCTTTACAGACAGTACTACGTGTAGAGCCTAGAGACAAAGGTGTCAAAAGTCCATCGAAAAGCTTTTGAAATTCTCACTGCGGTCGCCATCGTTGCTTAAAAATCAAAAGATTGTATCTTCAACGGTAACGTTGGGCAGATGAGACCCTTATATTTAGCTTTATGAAGCAACATATACCCTCCCTCCCCCCTTTCCTTTTATTCTTCTAATCCAACCACTTACCGCGAGGTAAACCGGTTTAATTAGACTATAAAATAATTAACTGTCAAGTTTTAACTGCTTCAAGGAAGGGTATTAATATCATTCTCTCAAAATACATTTACATGCACTAAATAATTCAAAATACACCTCGATACCAGCAGTACACCCATCATGACAAGAGAGCTTCCCAGCAAGCGAGAAGAGTCGTTTTCCGGAGAGGTAGAGTTCATGCCAATAGCGCTCGCCCCATAAGGACGTGCAATCTCCCCCCGGTCCCGTTTGCTACTCTTGATTTGACCTACCCTGTCTGTGGGGACATTTGAATTACGTGAGCTTTCTCCGTCATATATAACCCATTTGTCCTTAGTAGTCGTGCCGACTGGTAATAAATGCTGCTCGGATGGCGTATTCTCGGAGGCTTCGAGATTTGTCGAGGGCGTGTCTTCGGAGGAGGAATTTAAAGACAGCGAAAAAGAGGAAGATGACGAGGACAGAGAAGTGGAAGAGGAGGAGTCGGAGGAGTCGGAGGAGTCGGAAGAGGACAGAGAAGAAGAAGAAAAAGAAGAAGAGGAGGAGGAGGAGGAGGAGAGGAGGAGGAGGAAGACGACGGCGAGGAGGAAGAGGAGGAGGAGGGAGAGGAGGAGGGAGAGGAGGAGGAAGAGGAGGGGGAAGAAGAAGAAGATGATGCGGGAGATGAGGAGGATGCTGAAGAACCGAAAGATGAGGAAGAAGAAAGTGATGATGATGATGATGATGATGATGATGATGATGATGATGATGATGATGATGATGATGATGTGGATAACGGGAGTTGAGGTGGCATAGATGAAGATTGGAACGAATAAGATGAATCGGAATGTGATGAGGACGACGATGGTAAGTTTGTCGTTGACGAAGACGACGTCAATAACGTCGCTACAGATGTGGATTCAGACAATGAGTCACTGGAAGAAGAGGATGATGGTGAAGATGATGATGAAGATGATGACGATGACATTGAAGTCGATGAAGAAGTCTGAGTAGTTGGTTCAGTTTCTGAAGTGATGTAGTCATCAAAATCTATGACGTCAGCGCTACCACTGCCCATTTCAAAACCAAATAGACTAGGATCAAACTCTTCAAAAACATCCGAGATTCCGTGGCCGATGGCGATACTTTTCATCGTTGTGGCTCGTTCCTCGTGTTGGCACAATGCGTCTCTGTATAGAGCAGCCAGCTGAAAGGTCCTCTCTGAAGGCGCGACACTACCTGGGAATATGCACTCATTCATAGACAGAAAATCGCTCAACGAAGGAGAGTCCAGCATCCAAGCTATGTCACATGAGCATTCAAATACGTTTGTGTCAAACTCCATGCTTTTCGTAGAGGCAGCAATGTTATCAAAACTACCCTTTAAGGCGCTTTGGATGTAGTTTCTGTATATAGATACGGAGCCAATTTCAGAAGCCTCTGTGAACACATCCATACCGATATACGAAATGTTATTCCGATACATCTGGAAGGAGACCACATTCTCCAACTTGTAAAAAGCTTCGTCGGAGATGGTGTCGAACGAGTTTGCCCAGATCTTCACTTCCTGAATGCCATTAAACTCCCCAAAGGCGTGTTTGCCCAATCGGCCGAAGTGAGAGTCGGAGATGAGGAGTTTGTTGACGTCTGTGAATCCACTGAGTCCATCAGGCTCCACAATGTCAAACGAGCAGTTGGTGATGGAGAACAAGTCCAGGTTGCCAATACCTGTAGTAAGAAAACGAAAGAAATATTATAGTACGGTCATTTGGAGAAATTAATCATTAAGATGACATTTCATAGGCAATATTAAGAGCAAAAGTTCAGACACAGTTGTCTATCATGTGCTGCCTTGCTTCTTTGTTTCCCTTGCAAAGAACAGGAGTTCAGGTCTCATGTGGAGAAGATTATTCTATAACGCACCTCTGTTTCTGTTTAGATTTGTCCAACAAAGCAAGGTTAAGATCTTAATACAGAACCAACGCAGCCCAACTTTTTAAAAATGTTAATTATGTTGATAAGATAACACCAAGACGTTTAAGTACGTTTTGGCTTGTGTTCAGAGTTTGTAGAGTTCCGTAAGCCATTTCCCTTTTTCCTCAGTGTGTTTGCTTCCATGAATCTCAAACATTGTCAGAACTGATACTGTAATGATAAAACATATTTAACCCTCTAAGGAGCTAGCTGGAATACCCCCTTAGTCCCTAGTTTAAAAAAAATTATTTTGTTTAGCTTTTCTTACTCCAAAGGTTGAAATTAATGCAGGCATACTATGGAACTTGACAAATCCCCGAGTTTCACGAGATTTCTCATTAGTAAACAAGGTTGACGCTTTCCTTCTTCCGTTTGTTGAATTTAATTAAGAAATATGAATTCATTTGTAAAAAGGCATTCTAACAACCAAGCATGAGAATAGAATCACCTACACAACCACCCAGAAGTGATTCAAGGATATACTTGGTTGAAGTGGAGTTCTTTTTCCAAGAAGATACTGATTTTTCGCTTTCAGAACAATATTTTTTCAACGAAAAAATCAGGGATTTCACAGGTTCCGGTTTGATGTATAGCAGGAGATTAAACTTAAGCTGAGTGTTTATCTCATCTGTCGTCTGAATGACATTATTTTATGAGCACACTCCATCTTTCTAATGTAAATTAATTAAGATTTGTTCTTGTTTTGACGAATGAAGATAATTTCTGGGATTGAATTCTTCGAGAGTCGAAGCGAAGTCCATTAAAAATCCTGAATAACGGACCCCAAACAACTAGATATGGGGATAACCCGAGAAAAACACACATACACACACACATGCACACACGCACACACACCCACATCCATACCCACACCCACACTATACCACACACACACACACACACACACACACACACACACACACACACACACACACGCACACACACACAAACACACATGCACCCACTTATATTCTCGCTTTTTCTTGCTTTCTCCCCCTCCCCCTTTTGTCCTCCACTCTCTGTCTCACGCATACACCCGCATACACCCACTCACTCTCTCTCTCTATTTCCTCCGTCCCTACTTCTCTGTCTGTCTGTCTGTCTGTCTGTCTGTCTGTCTGTCTGTCTGTCTGTCTGTCTGTCTGTCTGTCTGTCTCTTTCTCTTTATCTCTCTCTCTCTCTCTCTCTCTCTCTCTCTCTCTCTCTCTCTCTCTCTCTCTCTCTCTCTCTCTCTCTCTTTACCACATTAACCCCAGTCTGAGGCGAACAAATTCTAATAACATGAGGCCAAACGAAACCTGTTGTGTTTGATAACTCGATACTCACCCCTAAAAGCGCCTCCCCTGACCACTCTAGCGTTCATGGAGATTATCTCCACCATCTTCAGATTGGGCGCCCGGGCCAGGAATGCGGGGGGGATCTCCTCCACCTCGCCCCTGGTCAGAACCAGCGTGTCTGTGGCCCTCGGGAGATATTTCAAGTCGATGCTTGTGAAATCCGAACAGGTGGCAAAGGTGTCGAAGCAGTAACAAGACCTGGGGCAAGCTTGGGTCGCCGCTGGCAGCGTTGAGACAAACAGGGTTAACAGGAAAACCAGGGGCATATTTCTGGTGGTGAGGCCTCGTGGCTGATGATGGGTTCGCTCCATACAGCAGGCTTCTTTGCTGGTTGGCATTGTGAGAATCAGGTTACCCTCTGCGGCTGATCTTTGCCTAGCAAGGTTTCTCGCAGACCGAAGCACCGTTCTGTGGAAGACAGACAAAAACATTGTTGCGGTTAACTGGGGTACTGGAGCTAATTTACACTAATCAACGTCCTCGTATTTGAGGTATCCCAAGCTATTTGCTGAGTCATCTCAAAACGGACAAAATAGGAAACCCCACATAGAGATACTACAGCTGTGCCAATCACAAATCAAAAGAACACATTATTACTGTCTGGCATCTGCTTTCACTCTTTCACTCCCTTGCTCAATCACATCCCAATTCATTCACTCACTCAGTCTTTCAGTCATCTACTCAATGAAAAGTAAACTAATCTGATCACGAGTATTTCCCTGTGAAACAACCAAACCTGTCATAGGACAAGTGCAGACCATGAGCAGACAAGCAATCTTTTTCAGTTCACTACTTTAGTTAGTATAACACATTATGCCACCAGCGATATTTCTATTATATCTCTACAAACCTCTAAGCGGATTACAGCTCGAACTGACTGAGATGAGTAAAACATTCTATACAAGACGCGCATCCGTTCCCCCACACGCACGCCTCAATGAATGAAGGAATGTGCAAAGAAAATTATGGCATCTCGCTCCATCAGTGCAACAGACAGTGCCTCTCAGACAACTCCCAGAAAACCTGGGTTCCAAGCGGTTCTACATAAATATCTCTCACAAAAAGAAACAAGACAAACTCGCACCACCCCCTCACCCACAGGGCGGTCTATTGAGTTGAAACGCCGCCTTTATCCGTGGCGGATAAGGAATCTTCTCGTCAAAAACGCAGACAGCCGATACGGTTTGTTAGCATATACCCTTCCCCCTTCCTCGACAAAAAACTCCCCAAAACAAAAACAAAAACAAAACAAAAGAAAAACAGCAAGCTCCCCCTCCTCCTTCTAAACATTCATTCATCTATTCACCGAGAGCTTTGTCTGGCCTTACAAATCGTTTTGGAGACTGGATGTAGATGTAACTGAGCATGACCTTCTTTGTTTTCTCTGCTGTATATCATCAATCAGACTTATAGCAAAATAATCGAAGGGCAATTAGTCACATCTATTTATCTTCCAAAAGTCGGTCAGAGGTAGGAATGAAAACCTACAGCGCATAGTTGACTTAACTTCGAAAGAAAAATACACAGGAACGAGGGGAAAAAAAGACTCTTTGTTGATATTTTTAGAACCATTCGTTTCTCAACATGAGTTGTTGTGTTTGCAGGATAGGGCACCGAGCAAAATGAACGTCCTTTGGGAGTGTGAGAGAACGATAGGTAGATCTAGAAATCTCAAAGAAAGGCTAAGTGTTCCAGATCTTTCGTTACTCGTCAGACAGGCATGGGTCTATTTTGTTAAAGAACGCGGCAAAAGAGAGACACAATGAAGTTTGCACAAGGGCACACCCACTCCCACGCTCACACTCCTACACACACTCATGCACATTCTGTCTGTCTGTCTGTCTGTCTGTCTGTCTGTCTGTCTGTCTGTCTGTCTGTCTGTCTGTCTGTCTGTCTGTCTGTCTG